CCCTTGATTTTTCTTTTGTGTACTTTTAAGTCTTTACTAGACTCTTATTTCTATATCGTTGGTCAGTCTTGATTTACTCATTGTTATGGCTAAATGCTAAGTTATATGAAATTTTTTATTATATTATATCAGCCCTTATTTGATCTTGATGTATGCAATGGTTTAATTTTGGTCACAATTTACTGTTAAAAAGATAAGCTTTGAGATATTAGAATTGGGGCACATAACAGTATTTCCAATTGTTTTGTTTCATTTTCTGTTAGTAGACTTGATTTCTTTATTATTCGTGGACTTGGTCTACACTTTTTTGTTGCTAATACTCTTATCTATAAAGAAGTTTCATCTTAATAATATCCCATCCCTGATCTATTGAGATCTGTAATTCTAAGAAGCATGGGTACAGACATGTAATTCGAATACGATACGATATGGGTACGTCGATGAAGCTTTTTTTAAATAATTCTACCTAATTTCATTAATATAAAAAATATTAAAACAAAGGCATAATATAAAAATAAAATATAATATTAAAACATTTTTTCTTAATCCTTAATTATCCCAACTTCATTTTCTTCAACATCATTAACATTGGCTTTTTCATTATCATTAAAAATGACTCTTCAACTCTGGCTCATCTAAGCTAGATTAGAAACATCAAGTAGTCTAACACCTTCAAGATTATCAAATGAGTTTTCGACTATGCCTCACATTTTAGATTCTCTTTTTAATAGAGATCTAATTTTCTTTATAAAAGACGCAAATTGCTATGAATGAAAACTAGTTTTTCAGTTTATTGTGGAGTTATGTTATTCTTTCTCATAAAGTGTACGAAAGAGTACATACTTTTCTTTATAAAAGACGCAAATTGCTATGAATGAAAACTAGTTTTTCAGTTTATTGTGGAGTTATGTTATTCTTTCTCATAAAGTGTACGAAAGAGTACATACTCCAATTATATAATACTAGTCCCTTGTTTGGTACGGATTATAATTCAGATTTTAGTTAAAGTCAACAACTAATTTTAACCACATATTTCATCGATCCCACAACTTTTATCAAAATATATTAAAATTTTGATTTTAATCCCCACCAAACAAAGGATAGTTACTATCTATTTCTAATAATAAAAATATATTTGTCAACTATTAACACTATTTCACATGTATTAAAAGACTAAATAATATTGCGTATTCCCAATAAAAAGTCTAGTTGTTGATTAATTTAAAACTCTAATGGTGTATTTTTAGTAAATATTATTAATATTCAATAAAGTAGTCAATAACAATGAGTTTGAAAAGGTTTTAAAATCAAGATCACTCTTCATGTGTGCTAGCTATCGTATTGGATATATATCGAAAATAATTGAAAAATACGTATTCGATATGTATCGAAAATTTTAAAAATATATAAAATAAATAAGAAATGTATCCGGTGCGTATCAGAGGGCATCGAAGAGTATACAAGTTTGGATACATATCGGATACGGGTACGTAATGAGTTTACAAGTATGAATACTTCTTAGCTGTAATGAAGTTATTGGTATCTATCCCTAATAATTGTAGATTTTGAAAGATGTACATGTTTTTGTGTTCCTTGAATGGATCAATGATTTTTGCCAGGAAATCTTTTTTTCTGCTCACACCCCGAGAAGTTGACCTCAATGGACAGAGTTTTACATTATTTCTGTCTTGTGGTTATCATTCTAGATGGATAATAATTGGATTTGGAATGATCCGGCGGGGAGGAAGCAAAAATGTGGGTGGGCCAAGAAGTTAATAACATATATTAACTCTTCATGCTACTAAGCCCCCGTTTGGACCCCATTATTTAAAAAATTTAGTTTTCTCTCTTATTTGCAACCACACACTCTTCTGAACCAAATGACTACTATCACTACTGATTAAATTGTAATTAAAAATGCAATGTAATCAAGTTTATGTGGTGAAGGTATTGTTTTCTTTTTCTTGTATCTCTTGATTGTAAAAAGCCCGTCATAAAAAATGTGATTTCTTTTGTAACTTCTTATGCATAAAAACTGGATTTTTTTACTTCTTGAGACACTTCTATAGTTTTGTCTCAAAAAACGATTTTTATTTACCTTTATGTTGTACGAGGAGACTTGATGTGGCTGTACTTGTGATGCACAAAGTAACAAGTGCATCCTCAAATTTTGAGCCCTATTGATATAAGTTTTGCTAGAGAACTGTTATAGCCACATACTGTTGAATATTTTCCTCTCCTTAAATCTCTATATTATTTTGGTGGGCATAGAAAGGATAGAGATTTCCCTTGATTAATGAGCATAGGTTATTACCAACACAATCAATCGAATCTGGTAATTTTTTCCATTGTTCAGCTCAATTTCTTGAAAGTCTCTTTATCATGAAAATGGGGGCCAAACAGGGCTTAGTAATATCTATTCACTTAATTGAAGTTTACTTGTAGGCCAGATATATCTGATTTGGAAAAGCAACTTTCAGATCAATCAAACAGACTTCTGAGTCTTCAAGAAATGGTTGATGATCTGGCTTCAAAGGTTTACCTCAAAAATTCTTGGCCTTTTTCCTTCAATCGTTTGCTTTACTTATTATGCAAGCTTCACCTAGTTGCTTTTCTTGATCAACTGGCATTGACTATGATCTTCTGGTGTCTAGCATCCCTACAATCCTGATGAGAATTACACGGAAGTTGAAGCAAAATTGAGGGAACATCTGGAATCTTTTCTCGAAACTGCAAGATCCTTTAATGCAATTTACACCAAGGTTTGTTGCCTCAATTGTTAAATTGAACTTTGCCGCTGTTCTCCTGCGCATATAGAATAAATTTTGATAATTGAGTATTCTTGTCTGTTGGGTCCAAATAAAAATGTAATTCCTCCAAACTTAATGATACGAGAAAATGCTTTCTCATGCCATTTTTTCTTTTTTCTTTCTTTTTATTCTCTAAAAAGGATTCAAGGATTTCAGCCCTTCCCTCGAAAGAAGGCTCGAACCGAGTAACCTGGGAAGGCTTCGCTCTTACCACTTGAACTAGACCTTTCTCTTGGCATTTTTATTCTCTCTTTGTGCTTGGAAAGCTTCTTTCTTAGACTTTAAGCTACCGAAGTATAATTACTCTTTGGAAATAACTCATAATTCTGTTCTGGATAGTCGATGTGTTGGCGTGTTAAGCGTCGGTTTAAAACTACCTTTAGAACTTAAGGAAGGTGGCCACCTTTTCTACTTGCACTAACAGTCTTGCAATTGTTATCCCTATCTTGTGACACTTCTTGAGAAATGGTTCTGATATATTAACTCCCTCAATATTCTCTGTAAATAATGTTCTATATGCAGGAAATCCGACCTTGGACTCACATGATGGAGGTACCGCAGTTACATGGCTTTGGACCAGCGGCAAATAGATTACTAGAAGCATATAAGATGCTTTTGAAGGTATCACAATGCTAGTTCCTCGTGCATTAGTTGTTTAGTGTAGAAAATGCAGTTGAAAACTTGACGTTCATGAAATTTACCGACTTCAACTTGTGAATTTTTTTTGTAGTTCAAAATCGAAGTATTTACGTTTTCTTCTGTTTGGGCTGCAGCTTTTTGTTTTGAAATACATGTTTGTGATATCATTTGCGTAGTCAAAGATTTCTTCTGTATGTTTTCACGAACTGTCGTTTAGAAGATAATGGGAAAACCTATAGATAACCATTCCTTTCTCTTTACCATGACAGTTTCTAGGGAACTTGAGGAACCTTAGAGATTCACACGCTGCAGTTGCAGTTGCAGTTGGGTCTTCTGAAACTGTGGCTGGTGAACCATCTTCTGTAATGAGAATAATCTCCGAGTGCGAAAGTGCATTGACATTCTTGAACCGCGATCTTGGGATTCTCTCTGCCTCTATTGCTCGTGAGAAGGGCGAAGAGGTGAATTTGTAACTAAATGGTGTAATAGGAGAAGGAACAACACTTCGCAAGCTTCAAGTTCTTCCCCCTTTTCATGGAATGGACACATTTGAATTATAGAGAAGTTATTGTTTTTGAAATTGTGGGGCTTGTTTGTTTGCTCGTCCCTTCTAGATAAGAGAGATGTCGATAAGAAGTTGGTAAGGTATTGGCTTTAGTTCTCGTCCACCAGTTATGATGTTGAACATTCTGTGTTGTATTTGAAGAATGATGGGGGGATGTTCTCCTTTTGTCTTGCTATTTGGAAATTTCACTTTACCCTCCTAATTCCATATTCATGCTGCAAGGGCGTTGTCATTACAATATATACGGAAACGTTTGAGTTCTTTTAATCTTTAGTCTTATCTACTCGAGCTTACAAAATATGCCACTGAGTATAGTTCGACAAGTTAAACGACATGATTAAAAAGTAGAAAAAAAACAACATTTAGCATTCTGTCCAAGCCATTCAAATGTAAAATGGTATACTCTCTTAATTATGAAGGAAAATAAAATGCCGAATATTTGTATACATTTTAACTTTCGGGCTCAATTTTAATTTTAATGCATTTTTTTCCTTTTTTCTTTTCAACCACACATTTTTCAATAAAATAATGTTACGCATAAATTCAAAACTTTTTCTTTTTTTCTAACCATACATTCTCTAAAAAATACTACTTCAAAATACATTTTTCCCTAAAAACTAATTTGAGCCCAAACAGGGGAAATTTGTAAAAATCAATTTCTGCCAAAAAAATAAAAATAATAACAATAAAAAAATTCAGCAGCTTAAGAGGGTTAAGCAACATTTTCATCATGGTAGTGCCACGTGTACTCAATTAGATGTAGTAGAGTAGATCATCAACCAGAATCATGCTACACGCATAATTTAGTTTGATAATATTGGTATTCACAATTCACACTTGACAACGTCACATTCATCCATTACAAAAATATTTTTTAAATTAATGGCCAAAATTTTGACAACACTAACATTGTCAAGTATGATTTTACAAATATCATAGGGATAATTGCAGCAAAGGTCCCAAACCTTTCAGATTTTTGCGCATTTTACTCTAATCTTTGATTTGTGCCAACAGAGGTCCCAAACCTTTCAAAAATAT